CATTTTGTAATCGTGCGTTTGCGATTCGAAATTAGAAACCGGTTAGTTCAGACTGATGTAGCCTAGATCTTTTAATATACACACACGCTTATATCATCCGATCAATGTACAATCTAATGTGGGGAATATTCTTTTCAATCATTTCTCTTCAGTTTCTTACAATTATAAAATATAATATTTGTGATCGTTACAATAAAGGCCAGTTATGCGACGGATACATTTTTCTCAACGTAGAATAACAGATTAGTAGTTATGGGGAGTCAAAATAAATAGTCGTATTTGTGTGAGAAACATCTTTCTAGACTGAAATCGATTAGAAATATTGTAAAATGGGAGACAGTGGTGGTGGTGATTAATCATAATAGATTTGTAGAGGTGTGGGGTAGGAAAATTGACAAGTTAGTCAGTTCAAGGTTATAAAAGGTGTCAGGTGAGTGAGTTGCTAGTACAAAGTGGTCTGTGGTAAACAGGAGATAGTAAGACTGCAACGAGAGGTTCATAATGAGATAACGAATATGTTAAATGAAACAGGTGGAGGCGTATATTAAGAAAACAGATAATACCACTAATAATAAGTCCGTATAAATGAAAATTTTTTTTGATTTACAGCTTGATTCCACACTGTATTTTTGGTACAAGTATGGAATTTTCAGCATGGATATCAGTAGCCCAAATTTTGCAGGTCGACCATAGATATCAGGTGTGCGCCGGCGTGGGCTCGAACCCCGGACCATGTGCATGGTCGGCGAGAGTCCTAACCACTGTGCCACCGACGATAGTATTGAAGAAATGTTTGCATAAAGGGCGTAAATTATGACGAATAATAATAGTAAAAATTGTAATAATAATATGTGTAATAATAAGCAAAGTAAAAAACCAAAAGGGTTAAGGGGAAGAAGCACTCTTGGTGAGAAAAAAATCATCAATCCAAGTTTGACCGTGGTGGGAACGGTGTCTGGACGTGTTAATTTTGGATACAAAGTTCCGGTTTAGTCGATCTTATTGCAACAGCTTCAGCTATGTGTAGAAGACGTGAGCGAACTGTACGTGATAACGACTTCAGAATTCTGTATATAACCCTGGAAGCTGTGTTGACATCGATGCGATGTCCAGTATCGACCAGGTGTGACAGGATCGAGCTTTTTATGCACTTATTCAACACAGCTTCCGGGGTTATATACAGAATTCTGAAGTCGTTATCACGTACAGTTCGCCCTCGTCTTCTACACATAGCTGAAGCTGTTGCAATAAGATCGACTAAACCGGAACCTTGTATCCAAAATTAACACGTCCAGACACCGTTCCCACCACGGTCAAACTTGGATTGATGATTTTTTTCTCACCAAGAGTGCTTCTTCCCCTTAACCCTTTTGGTTTTTTACTTTGCTTATTATTACAAATATTATTATTACAATTTTTACTATTATTATTCGTCATAATTTACGCCCTTTATGCAAACATTCCTTCAATACTATAGAATTTTTCATTTATACGGACTTATTATTAGTGGTATTATCTGTTTTCTCAATATATGCCTTCACCTGTTTCATTTCACATATTCGTTATCTCATTATGAACCTCTCGTTGCAGTCTTACTATCTCCTGTTTACCACAGACCACTTTGTACTAGCAACTCACTCACCTGACACCTTTTATAACCTTGAACTGACTAACTTGTCAATTTTCCTACCCCACACCTCTACAAATCTATTATGATTAATCACCACCACCACTGTCTCCCATTTTACAATATTTCTAATCGATTTCAGTCTAGAAAGATGTTTCTCACACAAATACGACTATTTATTTTGACTCCCCATAACTACTAATCTGTTATTCTACGTTGAGAAAAATGTATCCGTCGCATAACTGGCCTTTATTGTAACGATCACAAATATTATATTTTATAATTGTAAGAAACTGAAGAGAAATGATTGAAAAGAATATTCTTCCTTCAGATTGACTTTTAATGTGGGGAAACTAAATGCTTGACAGCAACGCGAACAAATCTTGATACAATACTTCCCGGCCCACTCCTAAAGCAGCTGGCATCCAGTTCATCAGTCAACAGAAAACTTGAAAAAGAGGGGAAACTTGGCATCAGACTAACAACCCTAATCCTGTCGGGAAAAACACTATCGCTACAGAAAATTTAAAGCTTGAAGACCTGCTGAGTTTCACTCGGAAAACAGGAGAACAACAAACAAACGAACAAGTACAGTACAAAAAGAACAAAAAAGAAAATTCACTAACCTCAGTTAAAAATCGGATTAGGAAGTTTAATATTTCATAATTGTCATCAGGCAATTTCATTAGGATTAATTCTTTAGCCAAGGCAACTTTTTCTCTTGCACCTAAACCTTCAACAGGTTAATTGTTATTATTAGTGGTAAAAGAAAAAGAAAAAGAAAGGACAAAAAAATGTGTCTAACACAACACGAAGTTTAATCTGAATGTGTTATTCAATAATAAAATTAATAACAATCATAAATGTTTAGGACATTCCATGATTTCTATATTATGAAGTATGTGTTAGCTAGAACTTATAGCTTAGTAAATAATAAGAAAAAATATGTGTTTCGGGCACTTGAAAAGCTGACGATACTAAAACTAGTTCGTCAGACTGAAGTAGAGTTTGGAATCTGATGTCATTAGCTGAAAGCTGATGAGACGTCGTATCTCTACGCACTAGGAGGTCAAACAAATCTTAAATGAGAATGCATAAGTGTAAATTGCTAACTGGAATAGCAACTAAAAATTAGTTGTTTCGGGTTAGTTGTCTAACTGGAATCAGCTAACGATGAAAACTTGTACTCAAAACTTTGGATGTAATCGACAGTACTATAAAATTTAAAAAAAAAAAGAGCGATAGGTCCCAGTTCGGTTTCTAGGGTGTAGTTGATGTTTGAATGGACATTACTGAAAGTGTGGAGGAGCAGCAAGTCATTGAGAAATTACAGCGTTCTCATCACAGATAACAAAGCTATCTTCCTTCTGTGAGAAATGAAGCCTACTGATTATTTTTGACAACACAGAATTTTTTAGGCTTGTTATTAAAGAGAGTAATATCAGAAGAAATGATATTGCCTGCATGTTAAATGGTTAAAGGCAGTCAAAAAAAATGCCCGAACCTAGATTTTTTATTTATTGGCACTCGTCAGCAAGACATATTTGCAACTCTGAAGGGGATCATGCCATCCTCCCTGAGTTTCGAACCCGCATACCCCCCAGCGCTGCAGTCGAAGATACCAACGTTTATTTCCATAAAAATAGATACAAACTACTGACTTATCCATCTGGCTAGCAAGCACTACTGTTTGATATGAGTAGTATACATGTACTCATCTCGGCCAATAAGTACATACACCGTCTGTATATACTTTTATTGAACCTAAAGAGAGACATTCGATGTATATCGAACTAAGAGTTCTCATTTAAGTGACTAATTATTGGTAATAAAAACATGAGTATAATAGCACTGAATGAAATAATATGAAAAGTTCAAGTGTTGGTCTGTGGGGATTCGATTGGTTACAGGATTTAATCATGAGCTCCCAACGGGTAGAGAACTACTGGAAACCATCAAGGAGTACTGGGACAGCTGATTCATCCTAGTTTGTGACTCTTCGTTAGTACACACCCACCACGGTTTGAACGCGAGACCTCCCAAGTGAAAGGGGAGCTCATAGACCATTAAACCACTGGGGCTGGTTCCAAATGCTAGTCCATGAATCCCAGCTTCAGAAAAATCATGTTTTAGCGCGACGACTAACTACCAGCCTGTGAGTTCATTTTGTAACCGAAAGGTCCTTGGTTCGAAGCCCGGTGGGTGGATGCTGATGAGCAGTTCCAAACTCGGACGATACAGTTGTTCGGTACCGACGTCAGCTCATAATGAAATACTGAAAAATGACTGGTTTCTGCTAGTAACACATTTACGAAGAGAGAAACAACACCATTCCAAGACCATTCTTTAATTTACCGACTTATCATTCTTAATTAATTCAGCAAAATGAAATCCTTCATTATTTCGAAAATCCTCACTCGCTACTTCGTGATTCAGTGATACAGAGGATTTATCATACCTAGTATTGGATGAGGTGAAACATCTTGTTACTGAATAATCTAGGCAAGCTGAGCAGACAGGGTGTCGGAAAATCGGATGAAGGAAGTTGTTCGTACACACTTTAATACTTAATGAATGTGACCCATATTTGATTTTCGACAATATGGTCATTGGCCGTAGCTCAGTTTGTTTGTAAAGGTGAGACTGTCTTAAGATGTCTCAATAGCTCTACCCCCAAAAAAATTTCGCTGCTGAATCTCTAATTTAAAAATCACCCCCTTACTGACTGATGGGTTTGAACATAGAAACTTACAGATGTGCAGCAGTTCGAGTTGCCACGCAGCTTCTACGTGGCACAAACAAAGCAAGAGAAGAGAGTAAAGAGTGATAATTAAAACAGAAGTGTGAGGGGAAGAGAATAGCAATTTGAAAGAACAATGGAGTTTAATTCGATATCACAAATCACAATGAGTGAATGCATCTGAGCAATCATTAGGAACGATCCATATCACCAATTACCTCCAGCCACTGCTTTTTACCATCCCGAGGACCCCAACCACCCTGGGAGTCTACACCTCCCTACGTGACTGGCTGGTTTAAACTAGCTGTTGTGGATTTCAGTGACTGATGAAGCCATGTTTTGGTTTGGCCACCACTAGCTATTTTGCGAACTGTTCCATTCTACGTCAGCTAACATTGTCCATTATCGAGGAAGGCGATTGACAGTCAGGAATGCGTAACACATGTCCTAACTATCTGATCAATCGGTGTTACTGATTCACAACCTCGTCGATTGATTTCCCCTCCCACATATCTAGCACTCAATGGATGCCTAACCTCAATATTGCTTGCCTTATTATACCACTTCACACGGGAGATAGAACGCAGACACCAATGATGAAAGACAGCTAGCTATCATTTTCGTATCTTCCACCTTCAATGGTCAAATCTCACAGCTTTAAAGGAGGACAGAGTGAACTCCCACTGAGCAGTTCTTATGCCCTTTGGACGACAGCAGAAAACACCTTTCAAAATTACTCAGTAGAATAAATCAAACAGATTATTTCGATTACTTACCCCCTGTACCCAATATTTCATCGTAAAGTTCAAAGGTTAAAAGTGGTTCAGTAAGTTCACGTAAAAATGATTTCAGTAGAACAGCTGCTAAATGAGGATCATCGTAATCACGAAGATCTACAGTTTCACCTATAATGAAACAGTAAAATGTAAAATGTTGATAAATTATTAAAATATTTCCACTCTTGTGACAACTCTCCTCCTCTGTTAAAAAAAAGTATAAGTACACTGTGCTGATATACAATGTGATCGAGAAAACTGCAGGCAATAAAACTGTATGAGAGAAGAAAAACAGTAGGAGTTAAAGTATGCAAAGAATGTTATGGTGACATTAACACGTTTTAGAGATTATTATCTAAAATCCCAAGTACCATCATCAATCATTCTCTCTCTCTCCCTCTTTGTTGCACAAAACGAACAGCACAGATTAGAGATTAAGAAAGCTAGCTAAACACCTTGAGTGTTTGAGAGTATTATAAAAGGTTTCAGCTGATGAGGTTTTTGAAAACAACATTTTCATCTGGTGATGCCTTTTATATTGAATAGTAAATAAGCAACACAATTTGAATAGAATTTCTAATGTAGAAAACACTGCACACAAGGTGTAGCAGTTCACATCGCTACACTCCATAAGGCGTATATGAATATAGAGCAAACAAAAACCAAACTAAATATAACGAACAGAAATTCACCAATCTGAATTCAATTGAACTAGGAGATCACAAGACGTGAATCCACTGGCCAAAATTCAAATGCCATATCATCAGCAACAGTCTCTATCAAACACACTGTTTCTTAGCATCTTACGACAGTCTACACTTCCCGATAATCAAAGACTTCAACAAGGATTGATGTCACATTTTGGTCTAGTTACTACCATCTCTTTCCCAACCTAATTCTATTTGAGCTAACATTGTAACGACAGAAGACAAGGGCCAGGCAACAAAAAAATCGTTTATTGATAAAATCAACAGATAGTTATATACATTTATGTACATTATTAGTCGTTATTTTATTAGAGAAACAGCGTCTTCTGATTGGTTGTTTTCTCGCTGAAAGTTAACCAGTCATCTCTTTGTGGCCGTTTCTTTGATGGTCAGATCATATATCTGCTAATCGTATCCGTCCACGTACAGTCTTTGTTCTTGTTTTACTCATGACCGAAATTTGGGAAGTAAACATTGACATAAATTGCTGTCTACCAATTTTGACTAGCAGACAGCTATTATCATTATTATTACTATTATTGTTCCCTTGGGTTCCTAGTAGGACATAGGGCTTCAACTGCACGTCTCCACTTGCCACTTCGGTCTTGCTTCTGCTGTACTTTTCACCTGCATCCATGTTAGTCCATACTCTTTCAACTCCTCTTCACACGATCTCCTCAATGTCACCCTTGCACTGACGTCCCACTCGCCGCTTCCCTTTCGAGTTCCACTCGACCAATGGCCTGACGTGCGCGCGATGTCACCCAGCGGCGGCCTCCTCAGCGAGTGTCCAATCCATCTCCACTTTTCCGTTGTGGATCACTTGACATGTGCTGTTCTCGTACAGCTCTGTTGGATAAGGTTGGTGAATATTTGTGGTACAGCTTTTACCACAACATTATTTATTGAGGAAAGAGATCGCTTGGCATGTATAACACATATACGAACCGCAACTGATACAGCGTTCATGACAACCTCATTAACTACCTTCTACTCGTAATGTAACAACCTATGCTTGATCTCATTAATACGGAGTATGCTGCTCTAATCAACGCTAGACATTGATTCAACAGAGACATCCATAATCCAAGATCACTAGTCTATACATATCTTCGCATCTTTTGATTGCCATGTTGAACCAGAGTCGTAGAATGGGGGATGATGCGGACCTCAGGATATGACGCTGGATGATGATGAACTCTCTGAATTTAAGTGAGCTAATTCAAGAATAAGCATCTTTACTGCGACTAACTACACAATAATGTCAGTTTTCCAGAGCAATCGAATACAAAATGTAAATACAATAATAATAATAATAATACGAGTAGTGGAGAAATATGATTGCTGTAATACTGTGAATAACTAACTCAAATGCGTACGGTTATGTCAATCACAAAAAGCTCTAATTATTACTTGCTTACCATTATTATATAAATTCTGTACTTCTCGTAAACGTTTCAAACTGACAGAACGACGGAATATCCCCTCTGTCGTCAAACCTGTGAAGTCAAGTGGGTAGGGGGAAAAATTAAAAATGATAAGATATTGTTGCTATGATGTATCAACAAAGTAATTAGAGGCTATACAACAGAATGTGAAAGCGCATTTATCACTTTTTTTTCCTTCACGTTTTTCAGTGGAACATAGGGCACCTTCAAGCTAGTGGCTTGAAGTTTCTGTAGCAGTGGTGTTTATTTTTACAGGATGGGGTTGCTAGCCTCATGCCCAACCCTTCCTCTTTACCAGCGTTATTTCTGGCTTCGCGAGGTAAAGGAGTGCGTCGGCCGGGGATCGAACCCCGGACCATGTGCATGGTCGGCGAGCGTCCTAACCGCCCTGCCACCGACGCACATTTATCACTTATACAGACACATAAACTACATATTTGCAACCTCCACAACTCAATCAAATTCTTAATGTGTCACCAACAGAGATGTTATTTCAGGATTGACGATCAAGGACTGAATTCATCTAGAGAACCATTGAAAACCAGGCAGTACTGGACAGTGCCTGAATAATAGTCTACAAGCTTACCTCGTAACCAAAAGGCGCTAGGGTTGATCCCCAATGGAGTCATGAGTGCGTGCTACTTAGGAGTCGTATTCACTTTGATTTACTTTGTTAGTAACCGAAAATAACCTTTCACCTCTGTTGTCAACATACATTGTGTATATAACCACCCCCCCCCCCTTAAATAACTGTACAGCTTAAAAGTAAAGCTACGAAGATATCTCTTCGACCAGTGTGTTCTTAATAAAATGGAGATACGCCGGAGAGACCATATTTTTTACTGGGAACCCAAGGGAACACAAATATAATAATAATAATAATGTTGCATAGATGAATCGAAATTTTAAGTTAGTAAAATATAAAATTACTGCTCAACTCATATATGTAAGGTTATTGAAGTCTTTCAAATATAAAAAAAAAACACAAGATGTGAGGAGCAAGGCTAGCGACAAGATATTGATTTACAGCTTTTGTCCAATTAACTAGAAGCGTAAACTAGTCGAAAGATGATTTCACAGCGCGAGAATGCTATGCGCCAGTGACAAACTGGAGAAGAGTCTGTGGATCACGGAGAAGTATCCACGAGACAAAAGCAGGTATCCGCAGAGATTTATGAACAGATTTGGGAAAAACGAGAATTAGAAAATAAGAGAATAAAACATACCACAATGAATAAAATGCCTGTATTTATCCACCTAAAATATAAATGTGACGATATTCCAAGGATAACCAACAGAAAAACACAGTCCGTGAGGTTAGCTGGATTCCTGTGTAACAGAAACAACATACTCCAAAGATCATCTCTAACTGTGTAGCAGACGAAGCAGATACATTGGAAGAACACAAAGAGAGGCATATCTGAACACATACTATAAAGTCTGCTGTTAACAGTGAATATATGTTTGAGTCAGGGGGCCACAAGACATCTAGCTGACAATGAACATCAGAGAGATATGTTGAATTCCTTTAAAATAAACCAATAAGCATTTTAAGCCTCTTACAATTCTCAGAGGGTATGGCTAACAAACAGTTGATTCCTTTTCACTCTAGGTTATATGACCATCTATCAAACCTCGTGTTTTATACGTCTGATATCTTACTAAACGCACTGATCTCACACTATTTTATATGTCCATGTCGCCTGTTTATTTACAATTTTCTAGTGGCTTACATAACCTTCTAATTTATGTACCTCAATATCTTGTTGTTATCGTTGCTTTCCACTTTTTGCTCTGTATCCAAGAAAATTCGATTGCACTATAAACAGAGTAGAGCAGTAATTTGATATCTTACCAACTTAACCAACTTTTCCCATTCGTCTGTATACCTTGATCATTGTTAATTATTGCTTGACATACGTTAGAGGTAAAGTATGTCGAAATTGTAATAATAATAATAATAATAATAATAATAATAATAATAATAATAATAATAAAACTACTAACTTTCGCTATTCAGGTCTTATTCACCATCAAAGGGAGAGATTTAACAGAGGTTACTTCCTTCACATATCCGACTAGGAAGTATCATTTCAACTACGGGCGGATGGGACGGATGAACATGTTAAAGCTAGTCAGCCAGAATTGGAAAGGCAAGATACACCTTCACTACCCTGAAACCAGTCTGAAAATCTTCCGCACTCAGCATAAGGAATAGGATTCACATTTTAAACGCTAATGTGAAGTCGGTTCTTCTATCCAAGCCAGAAACTTGGCTAGCGTGTCACGAAAAGGATTTCCAACAGGTCACTGCAGACTTTCATCAACAGTTGCCTTCGCTGGCTCTATACTGATGATGAAATGGCCGGCTGACCAGACAGAATCAGCAAGATGAAACTCTGGTGACAAACCAACCAAGAGCAGGCCGCTCAACAAATGTGTGGAAGAAAATGCAGATGGATTGATTGGGCACACACTGGGGAGGCCGTCGAATGACAAGGTGTGCCAAGCCTTTGATTGGAATCCAAATAGGAAGCGATGAATGGATCATCCTAGGGTGTGATATGGATGAGACCGTGCGAAGAGGAGATTAGAGATTGTGGGCCATCATGGACCCAGATTCAGGGTGCAGCAGGAAAAAAGGGACAAAGTGGAGATGTGTTGTTGAAGCCCTAAGTTCCACTCGCAACGTAAGGGAATAATAATAATAATAATAATAATTCAGGTTGCATACAGAGGAAATAAAAAAGGGATTCATTTCGTCCTACACCATGAGTTCGAACGGCTTTATTCAAAGACAGAAAATAAGACAAGAAGACCATACATAGTACATGCATCGCAATAAACGCATCTTTAGCATACACACTAAGTTATATAATACTATAACTGCATCATTTCTACTTCTACTGTTCACTTGAAATCATGTATTCGCTACCTCTTCAGCTACACTGCAGATTTTTTTTTGTATATCATTGAGTTTGTTCGAAATGAGACATAAATCATCTAAGACTGATAATGAATCCAAATAATCTCAATGTAATTGTATAACTATATAATAAGCTCCCGAAGCCTAACTATTCAGATCACGATCTGTGATTCTTGCTCCAATCTAATACGAAGAACCGTAGAAGACGATCAACGTTGTCGGTTCGTCCACAAGGAACTCCGTACTTGCCACCTGTATACTTTTCAATCTAGCATAACTTCCCTACTTGGACATTGAAGTCGCCTCCTAAAACAACCATATCTGAACGTTTTGCTCTTTGGAGAAAATTAAACAGTTTCAGGTAGAAGTCAGCCCTTAGTTCAACCGAACTGCAGTCAGTTGGTGTGTAAGCGGAGACTACAAAAAGACAATGCTGGGTAACACCGTCATTCCTTCTTCTAACGGACTCATTTAGATGAACCGCACACATACGACTATCTCCTTGGATCCAGTCGGAAAGTGATTTTTCTACCCTAACACTCATTTCTATTCCTTAACCTGCGAGTCCTCGTGAACTAGCTGAGGAGTCTCCTGACAACCTTATGGTGAATCTCACAGATCCACTTTGTTAGTCGAGTGAGGTTAAGTGAATCACCATACTCGGGTGTTGTGTGCGTGTCTCAAGAAACACAGCATATACCCATGACTCTAGATGTTGGAATTCTTGCTGGTGATGCTTGTTGTCCGAGTTGGCAGTGGGTCCTGACATTTAATGCTTCAATATGAAGTTGGCGGTGTGACTTTAAGAGGCTATCGGGGGTGTTTCTATGGCTCACAGAGTGAAGTGAAGGTGACTGAGAAGTCTGCAAAATAGTATTAACGGTAGGAGGAAAACAAGATGATGAGAGTGATACGGATAAAGGATAATGATGATCGTGTGCTTCTGGAAGCTTGTGGGCTGTTGTTACTTCCCGGCTACACACACACACCGTGGAAGTTGATCGATTCATGGGGTGTCTGAAACAGGAAGAGAGTTAGTGTTGTTTGACAGTAAAGCCCACGGGAAAACTGCTTGACACCAGTCACATTCGGCTTTTCTGAACTTGTTTTTAGGTTTGATTCCGTATTAGTAACTTACCGGCAACTACGGAGCACCGTAGGTTAAGCTGGGATGAAGAATTATAACCAACACTTTCTCCAAAGTGGAGAGAGCATAACTGGCATGCCGTTCATCTGAGGCAAACACCTCAATGCTGCTACATCTCTGTTTCTCAGCAATATAACTTTGCCCACAGACACCCCGCATACTCTAAAATATATTCTTACACTATGCCGGTAACTGCTTTTAAGTATAATCGCCATACTAGCAACCTTCCTGTCAGAACAATAGTTCCAGCCAGTGTAGCTTTTCGGGTCATTTTAATATATGCAAGATCGACCACCATATCAAGGTAGCAGCTATTGGCTGAGAATCTAACAAACCAGTTAACTATTTTAAGGAAACGACTCATAACAACACATATGCGGCCCAACAACCAAACTGATATTATCAAAGTAAGAGTCAGATATTAACTCACCTACTTATTTAAGGACAAGGCAAAGAGAAGTACAGAGAGAGTCGATGACAAAATCCAACTTCAAGGATCTACTACGATATGTAAATGAAACGATATTTAGTAGTCGAGATGAAAATTTCATACTACACAAAATACTTCATTCAGTAAAAGTCGTCATTTCCAACGTAACAGTTATCACAGATAACACTTCGTCATTGTAAATAATTACCCGTGGGATTTACAGCGAAACAATGACTTAAATAGTAGTTGGGTCATGTAGCTCATCATTAGCTGCCGGTAGAGTCGCTGGTTCGAATCACCACACACCAAGAAAACGAATAATTAATAAGGCTTAAGATACTAAAATTATTATCACAAAATGACTGCACTCACCACGATCTCGAATATAATCGATGGCATCTTCAAGGACTATGGGGATAGCACGACCTCCATTATTCATTTTAATGCTAATTATTCCATTTTATTGAAAAAGAAGGAAAGAAAGTGATATAAATATCTTATATTAAGTGTGGGGGCGGGGCGGGGCGGATGAGAGTAGAATCAATCGATAGACTACAAAAAGAAATTACACACACTTACAATTGTAAACTGACATTGAACTGTTGTTGAGGATCTGGTGTGACATCTTTACACTGTTCTTCGTATACTCCTGAGAATACTGAAGCAGCGTCTGGTATGTGCGGTATAAATGGTACAGACGGTCGAGCGACTGAACTGCAATACACAAAAAAAAACATTGGTTATATCAGTAACAGTGTGATATCAAGAGAACACGAAGAAAAAATCTTGTAATAGAACACTTTTTTCGTACAATAATTTACGGAGAGGTAGGGTGGTTTAAGTGTGTGTGTGCAGAGTCCTTGTATTGTCCACCTGCGGATCTAGAGCGCTAAATACTTTGGCAGTGTCAACCCCAGACTTGACTTAATTACTTATGAAGAAGGCACAGCGACTAAATGATGCTGAAGCATACCGCAAATAACGGAAATCAATAAACATCAGCAATCCAGTACAGATCTATGCACACTTAATATGTAAGAGCTCATAGATACTAAACGATTGCTCTGAACAAAGCAGGTGGATACATGCGTTGATGGAAGTAGGTCGGTCTATGAAACTATCAGTAAAAAGGGTTAGTCACTTAATGCAATGAGACAAACGACCACTTTTCATCTCATCAATCGGATCTGGCTTCAGAGTAGTAACTTATAGTGGGTGAAGGTCCCTAGAGAAACGTCGCTAATTGAAGTTTGTTGAAAATTGTTTTTCCCTTTATAATTCACTGCCTAACAATAGTGAATGCATATATCTATATCTTTGCTATCCCCCAGAAATGTCTCCAATTTGACACAGCACAAATGGGGACTAGATTACATATAACTACTTGAAAATGCCTTCAGCATAGCTTACCCCAGTAACCCAAAAGAGGATACTAGAAATTGTATGAATTTGTGTCTCTTGTAAGTAGTATAACTAAAAAAAATGTACAAAACAATCATAAACAAAATTCTGTTGTCTTTTAAAAGGGTAAATTTTAAATCTACTACGACCACTACTTTTGTATATCCTTTATTTTACAGTGACCGTAGAATTCAAGAGAAAACTCAACTTGACTCATATTGAAGAAGATTAAGTAATGGTGAGTTTCAATTGTTTATTCATTGTTCACCAACATTCCCAATAATGATTCTTTAAGTATTATTTATAATTTACTTTGTTCTGACGACGAACTCAATGGTCGTTGTCATTTAAATCCAGGCGAAATTATGAAGGCATTGGAACTGTGTCTTCGATCCACGTTATTTACGTTCAGAGGAGTTCTTTATCGTCGAACGGGAGGCATTGCTATGGGATCACCAGTATCTCCGCTAGTCGCCAATCTGTTTATGCACTCATTAGAAACAAATGCAATTATGAGATGCCCTAGTCCCCCAAAGATGTGGTTAAGATACGTGGATGATACCTTCGTCATAATCAGACGTAGTTTGCTGAATGAACTTTTTCATTTAATAAACAATATGTCGGAAACCATAAAGTTCTACAAAGAGGTTAAGTCCGACAAAAACGATTTGGTGTTCCTGGACTGTTTAGTAAAAAGAAAACTAGACGGCAAATTTAAAATAAACATTTCCAGAAAGCCGACCAATTCGGACAGATACCTAGACTACTATTCAGCACACCACCAAAGTAAGTGTGGCCAAGAATCTGATCAACAGAGCCAAACGTCTAGTTACTGAGGAGGAAGATATTAGCAAGGAATTAAAATTAGTTCAGTCCACTCTTGAATCAAATAATTATCCTGAAGCTTTTATAAAAAGATATTTAAAATGTGAAAACAAGAATGAGTCGAAACCTACCGCAAAGAAATGGGTTAGTACATCGGTGATTCCCTACCGCAAAAAAACATCCGATGAAATAAAGCGAATCCTTAATGATCATAACATAAGAGTGTATTATGGTGCAACTAACACCTTACGCTCATTACTGGTGAAGGTTAAGGATAAAATAGAACAAGAAGACCAATATAATTGTGTATACCAGATCAATTGTGGGGATTGTAACGCCGTATATGTAGGAGAAACTTCCAGACAGGTAAATATAAGAGTGAAAGAGCATACCCAATGTCTAAAGGTGGTTCCAAAGACCTCTACAGACTTAAAGAAGCTAGAAAACAACTCAGCGATTGCATTGGATTCGATAGAAACGGGACACAGGATCGACTTTGATAAAAATAAGGTTATACAGAAAGGTTTTGGTTCATATAGAGAAAGACTGACTGCAAAAGCCCTACATATATGGGTGAATCCCAACAGCTAGAACAGACATGAAGGTGTAATGTTAGCTGATGCATGGCAAATCCTGATTAATAAATAAAAAATGGATTTGTATCATTAATTAATCATACCTGGTCAAGATTCCCAATTGTCTATATCTTCTTATGGAGTAGCTATCAAATGTTTTACAACTGTTCACCGATGCACACATAAACACATGAACTTTTAGTCGAAAGTAAGCTGATGAAAAAGTGCAATCTGTTTAAAGTGTTTCACAAAGAACAGACTAATTTTTGACAGTTTGAGGTCACATTTTGATCACAGTTCGTACAATTTTGTTGATTATACATGACTCATATGATTGGACAAAGTTTTTTAAAAACAAGAGATGTCCTTTTATGTATAAACCTCTGTAATGTTAATTTCGTTTAATTTCCCTGAAGAAGTTCGGACCAGATTGCCGAACGAAATGTTGGAATTACTCATTTCAATATCGCTGAGATTGTACAAATATAATTTTTTTCAAATGTCTAGAGTGTAAAACTTTAGCATCTAGACAAATGAAAGGTAACCAAAAGATGAAGTGGAAATATTTTGTATATCATGTGTGTTGTATGCAAGACACAAGTGTTGTTGTTCACTTAGCCCCCACCTGGTAAAAATGTGTCGGAAATTTTTTTTTTTTTAGCTAGTTCCCATGGTCTTGCATACGTAGAAGCAGCACTGAAAGCTTCCGTGGAGAACTCACACTACTTGTTTTCATTCCTGTTAAATAGTCGTATGCATAACTAACTGTCCAGTCAAATGAAGACATAAGAAAAGGCAGATTTTTTTATATCCGTTTGTTTCTGCTCACTATCATCTCCGTTTGCACACTAACCGACTGCAGTTCGGGTGGAGTGAAGGATGAATGACGCCAAAAGCTGTCCAGATTATTGCTAAAGACAAAATGCTCAGATACAGTCATTTAAGCAGGTGATTTCCATGCTCAGCTCAAATAGGGAAGCTGTGTTAGTCAGAAAAGTAAATTGTTGGAAACTAAGCAATTTTTCAAGCCGACGAACCGATAATGCTCATCGTCTTCTACTATTTTGTTCAGATAATGAAGTATTGGCGGTCAGTACTGATTCAGTGCACTGCCTCACCTGACGGCCTACATCACCTAATCAACGATGTATTCTTTATTTTTTTTTAAAATTTATTTTTGAACACAGCTTGATTCCACACTGTATTTTTGGTACAAGTATGCAATTTTCAGCGTGGATATCGGTAGCTCAAATTTCGCAGGCCGACCATAGATATCAGGTGTGCGCCGGCGTGGGCTCGAACCCCGGACCATGTGCATGGTCGGCGAGAGTCCTAACCACTGTGCCACCGACGCACAAATCGGTCACCTGTGTAAACTCCAATCCTACGACTCAGCGAGGATTGAAAATAGGCAACTGGGATACCCACCACCACCCACAGCCTCTTCGTGAAGACATAAAGTCCATACACAATTAGTCCTCTTGAGAAAGTCTGTTTTTAAGGAAGATATAACTAAACACGTATCCGAGGTTGACAGCAAGACTCAGCTTTAGGAAGCCTGGCATAATTTCAAGTCAGCTGTCGAAAAAGTAATATAGGCAATTGATGACCTAAAACCAAAGGCTTTCTATTGCTTTATCCGAACCCATAGATGCTAGAAGAGTCATTACTGTGGACACCGAAGAGGTTGTAAACTGCATATAGCAAATGGAATGACAATACTTAAGTCAACCCTTTGAATAAACGACTGGGATGTTGGATGGAATTCATTGGGGAACACAGAGCAGTACCAAAAATCACTCACTTGAGCTGCAAAAAACTTCCTTGATAATAAGAACTATATTTTTAACGTGAAAATTATAAAATAAAATAATACTTATTAGGTGTATATATATATATATACTTACTCTTTCTGAACTGGTTGAATAGGCTTTACTGGTATGGACTTAGCGATCGTTCTATCATAACTAAAATATTTGATAAAAACAAAAGGAATAGTTCACACATGAAAGCAATAAATGCGAATACACGATGAAATTTTTCAACAATTCATATCTCTATTCTCTAAGACATTCGAGCTACTCTGAAGAATTGGGTTCCAAATGGAAGACAAAGACTCAACTGTGTACATCACCGTTTCACTCTGTTCTCTGCAGTCCTTTTAAGCTGGTTCAATGACTGACTGTAAGTTATTACCTCCCCCACCCCACCTCGTGTGATCCCGTCCATGTCATTCTTGGACCAACACTTTCAACTCATTTTTTCACATTCAGCATCCACATGATTGCCTGGTGTATGGTGGCTTCACAGAAGGACATCTTTAACATTTTTGTAATATGCGCATGATTATTAAACAACATTCACTCTGGGTGTTCACTTATTTGATTATCTTACTTATTTCAATCTCCAATAGTTGTTAACTATTCAAGTATTGGTTTGTAGGGATTTGGTTAATTGGTTACAGGATTTCATCATGAGTTGACATTGGTTAGAGAACAATTGGAAAACCGACAGGGAGTACTGGACAACTGTTTCGTCCTAGTTTGGGACTCTTCAACAGGCAGAAGTTAGAATTCATGGACTGGTCATTGGATCGGGTCCCAGTGGCTTAATGGTATAGGAGCTCGCCTTGTAACCAGAAAGTCCTGGATTCGAACCCCGGTGGGTACGTACTGATGAAGAGTCCCAAACTAGGACGAAACAGCTGTCCAGTACTCCAGTGCTGGTTTTCCAATGGTTCGCTAACCAATGTCAACCCATGATGAAGTTATTAAGCATATTTACTATAGTTTTATTTTGGTGTGATGGTATGGATATGTAGATGCTACTACTACTACTATTAGTACTACTGACTGTTGTGAGCAGCTACAAATCACTCATGTAAAACAGTAGTGCCTGATATAGCCAGACAGACAACGGCAGCGCCGCATATTCCGGGGCCAGGCTCATCAGCTGTTCACTCATTGTGACTGAGTTCAGGGAGCTGGGAATCAGTTGAAACCAGACAAATTCTGGTTAGCTTTACTTGGTACACCAAGTAATACGTAGTAACGTCGGATTTCTTATTTATAAATTATTCAGATCAAGATGATCAATCAACACAGTTTTTTTAGAAGCTAAAAACATTCAAATGAAAAAAAAATATGTGTGATCTACTTTATTGCTTATTTATGGTATCAAGTAAATGGCAAATTTCACTCGAAGTATAATTTACACTGATCATAATCTGTCTTTCTCATTCACAGCACACAATTATTACCACTGCTTGCCAGTGTAAATCAAAAAACCTCATGTTGTTTTGGTGTTCTAGATGTCCACTGCACTATACTGAAGTGCAGTGAACCGCAGTTCTACAGCAAAAATTCAGCATCCTACAACCACATGCATACTGATCAACAAATGTCTTTATATACATAATAAAACTACAAGGCGATAAACACACTCAGACAGATTTTAAATACAGTTTGTCAGACAGGATAATGAACACGTTGACACATAAATGTTCTAAGACAATGATAAACAAGTGTATAATACATAAATGACGGTACAAAGCATGTAAACAAAGTGTGCGTGTGAAATTCAATTGACCGCCGCCATACGTTTTTAATATACCGGACAGTCACTCATGTTATGCGGGCTGCTACTGATGATATTTTTCGCTCACATTAAGCCTAAAACCCGGTGTAGTATATGCTATTGATAAAAAAAAAGTTTGAAAGTAGCAGAACAGTGTAGCCTCTTCTACTGCCGCCGTGATCAGAGTAGCCAATCGATTAATTTGCAGACAAAAGAAGCCGAGGTAAGACAGATAAGCAACCTAACTGCGAAAAACACTACATTGGCCAAAGTGGACGTCCCTCCTCTTCGTCTTCGTATCCACGACCATAAGCTAGCCGTCAAAAGACATGATATCCACTCCCTCATATCACTGCATACAGACAACCACGGACATCAATTCGACTGGGACAACCAGCGTTCAGATATTAGACAGAGGAAACAACAAGAATGCTAGAGAATTTTTAGAAGCTTGGCATTCCAGTGAATCATCAATCAATAGACACATCGAGATAGACAAATCAACCGATTAGAAAGAAACTTCACACACAAAGGGTCAAAGTTCAAGTCAAAGAAACAATCAGTTCCAATACGAGTAACCTAGGTGTGAAAACACACAAAAACAACCAATCACGGCGTTCAAGGTGGTCACCGACCAGGAGAGATGATTAATAAACTCGTGGAGAAATTTAAAAGCTCACTTCCAGCTGAAGATGTCGCCTAGTAGGGCGATGAAAGCTTCGCAAATTAACTATCCAGCTCAGATAACACAATCATATCAAAAACACTACACGCATAACACATTAAGTGGCCCAACCCTAGTGACCAATCAAAGACAACCATATACAGTGAAGAGAAGGAAAGTTGATGAGGATATATACAGTAGAAATAGTTTTTTTTTAAAAGAAGTACGTTCACACACCACTGAGTTTTCCTGAACATACCAGTAATCAGAGAGTTGAAATGGCAAAACTCATATAGTCACACCCATTATCGCAAAACACACACACAAACAGACACCAGCCATACTAGACTGTTTCCTAGATAGAGAACAAAAACACGTCGACTGATTTCCGTTCGCATCATTCACAGAGTATATATTTAAATAATCGACAAATACACACTGGCATATTACATCCATACAACACAGCATCTGTACACACACACACACACTTATGTTACACTTTTTAAATTGTTATCACAGACAATAATAAATCTGGACTTAATATCCTATTTGAAATACAACACCCTCCACTTTGTATTTATTTACAAAATACAAACAGCTAGAGTGTATGCGCATGAGAATGGAGAGAATATACAGTATTATTATTAGGAATAGATTTCACCACTGAAGAGAAAAATATATCTTGCGACACCATATGTGTATTGTAATCAATATAGTAAGTAAGCGCTTAAATAGTCAGCAGAATGCACAGTTATATTTTGCAGGCCACTATTATTAATCATCAATTCAACAGAAAATCGTAGTAACACTAAATACGGTCGGTCTATTCCAAGAGAAAGGATTGTCAACTGAATAAAATACTCATTCCCTGTCCTGTTTGAAACAACATTTTCAAGTATATAAAGTCGAAACTAGACCAATTTTCAACTCGTGTTAAGGTCGAACGTATTTATGAAATTACATGATGTTACATGTGGTATCTGTCTGTTCTCGACAGAGAACTTTGCACCGACGTGCGGCAGTTCAAGTCGCCACACTCCCTACATGTAGCACACAAACCAACAGAAGAAAGTAGAAGAAATGCATAATAGAGAGAGACAGTAAACAGAGGTGTGACACAAAGGAATAGTAATAACGAAGAACAATATAGTTTCATTGGGTATTATAAGTCACAAGAAGTGGATGCATCTGCACCAGCCAGCCATTGAGAACAATTTTGAGCCATATCACCAATAGTTTCCAGCCTTCATTGGTTTTTACCGTCCCGACGACCCCCATCCAGGAAGTCTACATCTTCCTACGTGGCTTAAACTAACTGTTGTGGATTTCACTGACTGCCGCTAGCTCTTTTCCAGCCTGACCCTATATCATATAACATTGTCCATAGTCGAGGAAGGCGATGGTCAAGCATACGTAACACATGTCCTAACCATCTCAGTCGATGTAACTGCTTCACAGCCTTGTCGATTGATTTACCCTCCCACCTTACCTAGCACTCGACCAACGCCTAACCTCAATATTGCTCACGTTATTATACCACTACTTCACACGGGAAATAGAGCGCAGGCACCTGTGATCAAAGACAGCTAATCTTTTCATGTCTTCCACTCTCAATGGCCAAGTCTCACAGCTATAAAGGAGGACAAGCGGACTGATGAGCAGTACTGTCTGTCTGGATTCAACATAGAACTTGGCACCGAAGTGCAGCAGTTCGAGTTGCCACGTTCCAAATAGCACACAGAGGTAGACAAGAAGATGAGTGAAGAGAATCAATAGAGTTTGACAAGTATAAGAGTGAAACAGAATGGGTAATGGTAGAAAGGAATATGAAAGATTACAGAGACTGAATACATCTGCGCTGGCCATTGACAACGATTTTGAGCCATGTCACCTATTGTCTCCAGCCATTGATTCCTAGAGTCCCGAGGGCCCCAACCCGGGAGTCTGCATCTCCCTACCTGACTCAGTTTAACTGTCAAGGATTTCATGGATTGATGAGGCCATGTTTTTGTTTGGCCACCACTGGCTCTTTTCCAACCTGAACCTATATCAGCTAACAATGCCCGTCGGGGGAGGCGGTGGTTAGGCATGCGCAGCACGTGACCTAGCCATCTTAGTCTATGTAACTTTATAGCCTCGTCGATTGATTTTCCCTCTTTGCCCAACACTCTACGCCTAACGTCAACATTACTTATCTTGTGAAACCACCTAACGTGAGACAGAGATCGCAGACATCTATGATCGAAAGCAGTCAACCTTTTCATGTCTTCAACGCGTATTGGCCATGTTTCAGAGCCATAGAGAAGGACGGAGCGAACTGATGAGCAGTACACACGTCCCTTGGTTGATAACCGGATGTCACGCCTACGCCAGAGATGGTGTAAGTCAGCGAAAGCAGCTCGAGCTTTTCGGATCCGTGCTGAGATTTCATCGCCAATCAGTCCGTTGGTGCTAATACAACTTCCCAAATAGGTGAAGTGGTCAACATGTTCTATCACTTCACTCCCTATCACTAAGTTAGGGGTTGACGGGGTCCAGTCCTGTAGCAGCATCTTACATTTTGCAGGGGCGAATCGCATGCCAAACATACGAAGATTGCTGCTCAAGGTGTTCAGAAGACTCTGCATTTTGTCAGCATCCTCCCCTAACAGGACTATGTCATCTGCATATTCTAAGTCCATTAGATTATTCCCTGGTAACAAGTCGATTCCTAAGTCATTACGTTCAGTTAAGGATACTTCCATTAGCATATCTATGATGAAGTTAAACAGAAATGGGGAAAGTGGACATCCCTGTCGGACACCACTGGTTGTTACCAATTCAGATGACAATTCCCCATAAGCCCTTACACGACTACGTGAGTTTGAATAGAGTGCCTTGATTAGTGCAATGTACTTTCTTGGCACTCCCTTCACAGTCAGACATTGCCATAGTACCTTTCGATCCACGGAGTCGAAGGCCGCCTTCAAGTCAAGAAATATGACAATTGTTGGACGCCGAAAAGTGTGTCTATGTTCTAGAATCTGTCGAAGAGTGAAGATATGATCTATGCACCCTCTACCTGGTCTAAAGCCTGCTTGATTTTCCCTTGTCTGTTCCTCCCGAGTTCTGCTTAGTCTATGCATGATTACTGAGCCTAGGAGCAGTACACACACCCTTTGGTCGATAGTCGGATATCACATCTACGCCAGAGACGGCGTAAACTGTCATATGCGAAACTAGCCCTCTCTATCCATATTGAGCTGAGATTTCGTCAGCGACCAACCCTCTGGTGTTGGCTGATGGTACTTCCCAAATAACTGAAGTGGTCAACGTGTTTTACCACTTCACTCCCTATTTCTAAACTAGGAGTCAGTGTGGTCCGGTCAAGTACACTGGAATAAGGTAAACACAGTTGTCTACAAGGATTGCTAAACACACCCAAGAGTCTGTGTATGTGTGTGTAATAGGCTCAGTTCTCTTGAAAAACGTCATACGTCGATACTTGGCTGAAACATGACGACTGTCACTAACTCGAACAGCGTCCGCGAATTCGCATGTACTAGGGAGACAAAGTTGCCTCGACTGCTATTACTGATTAAATGCTGAGGAACAACCTATTTCCTAAAGTCCCAGCTTGGTCATAGAAACGTACCATAGCTGAATAAGCTGGCTTAAGGTGATGAACTGATAAGGGATTTCACGATTGCTTCTAATTACTGAAGCTTTCAAGCCATTAGAAGAGTACAACTTGAGTTATGTCTGAAAAAAGAGACTGTCACTAACCTTATTACTAGCCTGGTAGGTATATAACTCTTCCATCTTAAATTATCAAAATCTCACTTCACTCTTTGTGATGTGTAACTTCTTGAAAAAAGCATTTATCTACTTTTTTAATAATTTTGATAATACCTTTGCAATCTGTGTCTGACCTGTTTTATTTTGCTTTGAATAACTTTTCACACCTCCACTTATGTTTTGAATTACCCTTGAATTCCAAAAACTCTTTGCAATCTCTCTCTCTCTCTCTCTCTCTCTCTCTCTCTATATATATATATATATATATATATATATATATATATATATATATATATATATAATGCTTCTGTTTTTGGGTCATAATTGATTATTCCAACTTCATGCAAGGGTACTAAAATAGTATGAAATATTCTAAGATGAATAAACTTAAGTAGGGCGACATGGGATATCGACAGTCGATAAACCAAGTAACAACACAGAGACAGAAAAAGGGATGAAATAAGAGAAGTAGAAAATCAAAAAAAAACTACACAGATACACACACAAATTACTATAAATGCTAAGCTAAGTGCTATAGCGACATACTGAGAACTTAAATACAACCTGATGATTCAAATAAATGCATCGGAATGCTGTTGGTATTTACGACTCCTGATTAACAAATAACCGTTATAACACTAATGGTTCACATTCTGACACTCTAACAAATGGGCACGAACTAACTCTGATGAAAGAACTATTGAAAACAAACAGCGTAGTAGACAAATATTTCGTCCTTGTTCTAGACTTTTCAGAAGTAAGCACTGGTGTTGCTACTAAGGATCAAAACCAACACCTTCAGGTTACTAGGCGGACGACAACAACCAATACTTCACTAAGACGGAATCCAATGATTCGTCAACTCTAACTTCTAGTAAGAAATTATAACCAATGGAGTCCATCATGTCGAGTATGAGGATAAATGCATCGGAGATACCATTGGTTGGCGATGCTGATATAAATGACGAACTGACAGAAATTAGGATTCATGAGTCGTAGGATTCTATCCCAGTGATTTAATGGTGAACGAACCTGTCTTAAAACCTGTATTTCCTGGGCCTGACCCTCAGTAGGGTCATGAATTCTATTACTGAAGAGTCTCAGTCTAGGGTGAAACAGCTGTTCGATACTGCCTGCTTTTCAATATTTTTCCAACTGATATCACTTAGTGAATAACTTTGAAATACATCAAATCCCTAAAAAGTAACACCTGAAAATCCTGATCGATAAAAAACTGAGTACAAAATGATTTCAGTATTGAGTATATGTGGGAAAACAACGAGATGTAATTGGATCTTAAGGGGGGGACAACTTAATGCTGTAAAATTATGGACCAGTTGTTACCACTGAAAATGTGAAAAAGTACACAGGTAACTAAAGAAACACTGACAATCAGTATTTCTAACTGACTCTAGAATGTTATTGATGTTATTGATTGTGAACAATCCTGTCACTGTACTGAAAACAATAAAAGCTAGTTAATTTGGATCACTTTAAACTTCAGTCCACAGAGTCATCGTGAGTAATCACAGTCAACAACTGTTCTTCAATGTTCCCTTCATCATTTAAAATAAACTACAGAAAGCCATGATTGAATTTCAGTTTAGAACTGTGCACAGAAATACTGTGATTAAAGTGGCCAGAATCTATGTAACACACGATGATAGATAAAAGAACAGAAGGAATTCAAAAGAAGTATGATGAGCAAGAAAGTACAGGAAAAAGAATAAATAACAACATGGAAAAAATATGAATATTTAGTGGATCTAAGACATTACAAAGAGTTAATGCATTTCGGTCATTTCTGAGAACAATTTTGAGCCATATCATCGATAGTTTCCAGTCATTGGTTCTCAGGATTTTGAAGTCCCAAACAAGGGAGAGTCTAGCTCTTCCTACGCAACTCAAACCAACTTTCAGAATCTTCATCAACTTCTTCTATGTGTTGGTTTGACCACCTATAACTCTTAACCAACCTGATCCTATGCCCACTAACATTGTTCATCAAAGTAAGAAGTGTCCTCAGCAGCTCAATAGACGTAGTTTCCCAACACGATCGATTTAACTTACTCTTCCTACCTGAACATCTACGCCTAACTTTAATATTGGTCACTACAGAAAGCTAAAAAAAAAAAAATACATACTATCACACAGGCCTAAATTGACACAACAAACAATTTAATATTCAATAGTGGGACCATCCTGAAGTACTCTTGGATTGTCAATAATAGTAGTTGTAGATGATGTTTGAAGAAATAAAATCCTGGGTGGAGTCAGGATTTTAAACCTACAAGACCCAACCAACTGTTAAACAAATCAGCATTACACCGCAATAGCCGCCACGTGTGACTCATTGAATGAATGCTCGAACGCTTATCAGACTGACGAAATAGTTAAGTTGGTGTTTAAATTATACAGAAAAACCCAATAAAAACAGAGAATTTGCATTGGCATAAACAACTAAACATAATCGTATTATTATTCAACACATAAACTTACTTTAAAACTCGCTGTGGTATTGGCAACTGGTCAACGAACAAGGTTTCTTCTAATCCTGACAACTGTTCAACATAGATTACTTTGTGTGACATTTTAGAACTGAAAATTTAGAAAATACAAAAAAAAAAAAAAAGAAACGAAATACATGGACGTAAACACACAACAAAGTCGACACGTCAATTAAAGCGGTAGAAAGGTAATTAAAAAAAGACATTTATCCTCATTATACGACATTATATTGGTAAAAAAAGACAACATCCTACTGCTGCTTATATGCTAAAAATTGCTTCAAGGAACACAGTCCACTTTAAAAAACCACTAAGTGACGACTACATAATAATAAGTCAAATTTTCTTCTAAAACTTAGGCAAATGGGGTAAACTGCAAAAGATGAACCAGGTAAAATTTGAACCAGAGATGCTACAAGGACACACGTCCAATTTCCAGTGGTGCCTTCAAAAAACGAAAATACAAGTATGTTAGAAAGAAGACACATGTATACATGAAAACACACGAAGTGTGAATGTCAGCATTATTGCCCTGGCAAACACCGTTCATCCCATTTTTCTGATATAAAAGGATAGACAAGATAACAGTTTGTGACGTGTATTTAATGCCATGAAAAAGTGGATATATATTTATCATAAGACTTGATGCTAACCCCAAAAATAATGATAGAAGAAAAATCAACATGTGTAAAAACAGCACTTCGTTCAAAGAGTTGTGTTATTACACTTTTCTTTTTTTATTATAGCTTGATTCCGCACAGAATTTCGGTACAACTATGAAATTTTCAGCTTGTGACATCGGTAGCCCGAATTCAGCAGGCTAACCGGCCGAGGATCCAACCCCGGACCATGTGCATGGTCATCCCAGCATCCTAACTGCTGTGCCACAGACGCGGTGGAGAGATATTTCATGCATCAAAAGCTAATAACCATAATCCGATTGTGTATGTGTTCATAATCCCTATTCGTTGTGTAGGCTGAATTAAGTGAAGTCGGACTCGAACCTGGAACCCAGTTGCTGAATACCAATAAACATTACAAGCGGTGGCAACATAAACCTACTGAAATAGAATAAAACGATTCAGCTCAGCAATGGTTGATACATATATTCATGATCAAACGAATTCGCAAGTTACACTCAATTGATAATATGAATTGAGCTATGAACTGATTACTGTCAACTGTTAGAGGAAATAATAATAATGTTAGGTGGTTAAAGGCAGCCAATCGTCAAGAAGCCCCGAACTCTGGTTTCGTGAAGGCATGGAGAATATCTATAACTTTGACGGGATGAATGTCTCTGAGGGGATTCGAGTTTGTGTTACCTATAGTGGTTAGTAATTCGAATAGAAAAGTTACAATATTGTGGTGTTAGACAGTTGACATATATAAACGCGTATTAGGGTAGGACTTTGACTTTGTGGTATTGTACAACTCCATATTACTTTTGCTTACCCGATACATTAAACTAACGATGTTTCGGGTGCAAAATGTTTCAGATAACATGAGATATCAGTGAAAAAGCACATGAGACTAATTATTATTTGACTCTTATCTAATCTTGGGTTTTAAACCTTCACAGATATTATGTTGTGTCAGATGAATTGATTAGAAAACGCAACATTCCGAAACTCCGAGCTGTAAAAATGACGTCCGGATATGTGCATTCAGATAATCTCTCAAAACGAGCCCAAGGAGTTATGACATGCCAACAGAGACAATAAGCCAGCATAACTAGCCTTGATTCCATGCAGCCACTTTATAAACTGACCCCCCCCTCCCAACCTCCATTTACTACCACAAGTCTCAGGGTTTAGGTAAACAGTGAACGATGTGATACGTTGCTGGGATTACATTAGTAGGTCATATCCAACACATTGAAGCCAGTGTCTGCATATGACATCACATATAGAAAGACATTCTACATCGCATCCGGGGATGCAGAGTTTTGCACCCAAAAATTACCTACACGCGCTGATGCCACTGGATACAGGGAATTCTATGCAGAAACATTAGTGATCGGACATGCACAGTCGCAGCATATTCTCAATCTGGAGGGCCAAGTTTCACAGTTATACAGCATAAAAGCAGCACAGAAATACAGTATACTCGACTTTAAACGGCCAGGTTTTAACGTTGCGGCAGCACTAGATGTAGAGCAGATCAAGACTACCATTCTCTTCTGAGTATTCCTACTGTAGAGCCAAATGCACAGGAACGTAAAAACAATAGCAGATCCTTCCCGCTTTTTTAAACACCACAATTAATGTGATAAAACATAGAATTATGAGAACACCTTGTGTGGAGTTCAATTTAAATGTCACGTATGCAAACTGTTTGCAGACATCATCGGTAGGAAATGAATTAATTGAAAATGTTAACCACTTCGAGTAACTGAAAAGCTAAATCAGCAGGAGTGGGTGGCGGACTAGCCAAGTTGTAGTGAATAAGTTCACTGTACAACTGCGTTTTTTCTGACACTTTTTAACTAGATGAAGCCTTTCTTCCCGGGTTGACGCAAGGTGTGGTGAAATCAACTAGTGCAGTTCATAGCAATATTCCACAGCTACTCGTACACTTCCTTGCACTCGAGAAGATGTCAGAATCAGTACCCGAACAAAATACGATCAATATAATAGTATTTACACTTCCCTTTCTCATCCATTTTCTTTCCGTAAACTTACATCTCGACATAATGATATATTTCTGCAAGTGATAATCTGTTACCGCTTAGTATATATCACAAATGCTTAAATTTCGATCATTATTACTAGTGATGATGCGTAGGTGGTTTAGAGGTAAACTCCTGTACATCTGTGCACGCGTTCCGTGTTCAATTCCAAGTGAACTCACTCCTAAAACTCTCTCGGTTGTTAGCAAGTCTGCAAAAGAATGAAGGTTTGGCGTGAGGCCAGAAGATTCACACTCCACAACAAACAGAAGACCACCACTATTCTTGGGAATTCAAAGCATGAAGACTTACGTTCCACCCGGAACATAAAGAAATGAAGGGAAAAAAATTACTAACTGTACACACTTATGAAAATGTGCTTCAGATTCGTCTTTATTCTATTGGCAACAATACACCAGCCTTTTTAACAGCAGACTTATTGATTTCTGGAGAGTGATTACTGCCAATAAAAATAACAACCTACTTAGTTTACATATCATTTTATTATTATTGTTGTTCCTTTGGGTTCCTAGTAAAACATAGGGCTTCAACTGCACGTCTCCACTTGCCACTTCTGTCTTCCTTCTGCTGTACTTTTCACCTGCATCCATGTTAGTCCATACTCTTTCAACTCCTCTTCACACGATCTCCTCCATGTCACCCTTGCACTGACGTCCCACTCACCGCCTGCTTCCCTTTCGAGTTCCACTTGAGCAATGGCCTGACGCGCACGCGATGTCACCCAGCGGCCTCCTCAGCGAGTGTCCAATCCATCTCCACTTTTCTTGCATATTTGCTGTTTCGTTTCTTCCCCTAGTTTCTTGTTGGTGATTCTTTCCAGCACGGCCATCTGATCTTCAGAATAGAGCGAAGACAGTTGTTAATGAAGGTCTACAACAGGAAATATTCGTTGTGACCCGCCCGCCAAGTTTCTGATCCGTATAGAAGAACTCACTTGATGCTGTTTGTATTGAAAATCCGACCGAATTTTGTTATTGATGCTGAGTGACGAAGATTTCCAGATTGGTTTCAGGTAGATGAACAACGTGTTTCTCGCCTTCCCGATTCTCGCTCGATTTGACATCCTCGTCCGTTCCGACTTACTATAGTTGAGACAATGCTCCCTAGATAAGTAAGTGAATGAAGTAACCTCTTTCAAATCCCTCCCGTTGATGGTGATTGGCGCCGAGTAATGCTGCTGTTTTTGTTGTTGGTTGGTTATTTTCATAACTTCCATCTTGTCTATGTTCACCTTGAGTCCAGTCTTCGCCGGCTGCTTCTTCGACCAGTTTGTCGGTTTTCGCTTGCCTCTAAGTCTTCGATTTTGTGTGACATCAATCATAAATCCTAAGTTGCTCTCCTTTGGTAGTTTCACAAGGTAACCTTTCCTCCAGTCAGTAGACACCGTTTTCTTTTTCCAGAGCTTTTGCAATAATGGAGTCAGTACATCTGCTGTCGTCTCTGGGTCCACTTTCAGTGCTTCAGGGGGTATTCCATCTGGTCTATCTGCTTTTTCAGCTTTCAGAAGCTTGATTGCATTCAAGACTTCAGTTTTCGTTGGATGATTGGTGTGAACTTGTAGTTGTGTACGTGCTATTGTTGGTATTTCTGGACGGGTTGCAGGTGGTGGTTGGTTCAACAGTCCTTTGAAGTGATCCGCCTATTGTTTAATCTTTCTTCCTTGGTAATTGGGTTCCCTTGGCTGTCTTTTATATGCTTCACGTTATATCTCATTTAATGATCGTTATTTTGACCAGTAGGACTGGCTGAGTGTGATAAGCCTAGCATTATATCAAAATCATGCGCAAACCGCCTTCAATAAATTTTACTTAAACCTCCTGAAGCAGTATGAAGTAAGCATGATGATATATAATAAGACTACCAAACAATTTCTCCCAGTAAGAAACTATTAGCAGTATTAAACGTGTGTATTTGTGATACTATTCATTATCTCTGGTTGACGATTCAATAAACATGTTGCATTTTCAACGTTGAATATAATGGTTAAAAAGTCAGGTGATTACGCCAGTGTTCATCTTTAACAGGTAGACTGATATACTAACTGAGTAACAACTGGTTTCCACATCGAAATTTGCGCAGATATGCAGCAGTTCGGGTTACCACACCTCCCTCCATGCAGCACACAAAGCACCAGAAGAGAGTAAACAGAGGTTCAAAAAAACAGATAATAAACAGAAGTTTGAGGTAAAAAGAATAGTAGTAATATGGAAGAACAAAAGAGTTTTTTATTGTACATGATAAATCACAAAGAGTGAATGCATCTTCACTATTGATATTGATTTCCAGCCATATCACTAATTGTCTCCAGTCTTCATTGGTTTTTATCATCCCCCCGAGGACCACAACCAGGAAGTCTATACCTCCCTACATGACTTAAACTAACTGTTACAGATTTCATT